CCGTGGTAGCGTCGTTCTTCCAGCTTCTTTCATCATGGTGACTTGGAATGATCAAAATCGCGCAATAAACAGATATTTCCAATAGATATTTCCCAAAAGATCGGGAAAGTTGACAGTTCACTGTGCTATTCGTTCGCCATTTACTTTAAATTATTTACGTCAATAATTACAAGAAACAATGTACACATTGTTGGTCTCGTTTGTTATTAGTCAACTGGGCTGTATCTCGAAAAGTTGGTTTGAGTCTGTGTTAGAATGGCATAATGTCTTTTTTTAACGGTCTATTTTATTTATTTATTTATTTATTTATTTATTTTTTTATTTATTTATTTATATATATATATATATATATCTTTTTTTTTTTTTTTTTTTTTTTTGGGGGGGGGGGGTTATTCTATTGTTTTGGATTGACCGATATTCGAAATCATAGCTCAACATGCATACTCATATTTCATAGAGAAGAAATTGTAATGTCCCTTTTTCTTTATTTTTAGGCAATAGTTCTTCAATTTAAAATCTATTCGGATTTTTTTTCATACTTACGGAAGAAAGGTTTTTTCTTGACGACCCCGAAGCTTGCCAGAGGCTAGCCCGTCATAGGAACGAAACAGATATGCAAGATCGATTCTATCCATACAAATGCTATCATTTTAAACAGGTGAATGGGATGTGTGACGTCAAGCGTGGTTGACAGAAATGACCACTATAAACACAACAACAAATCAACCCATCCGGCTATTGCAGTTGTTTGTGCGATTGCGTTGTGTTACTTTACGAATTATGGCAGATTAGTTTGGAATTCATATTTGTTCAAACATTTGCTACTCCCAGTACATCTACATCGTCACATCTATACATGGATATTATGCGAAATAAAAAAAAATGCACTGTCATTGTCAATAGGGAATTCATCATTTTAAGGATAGATTGTGTTTGAAGGAATAAGAACGGATTTTAGAACATTTAACTTTGGACTTGGCCTCATATTCAGGTGTGCTGCATATTCCATAATCGTTACAAATGGTGCCTCAGTGTAAACGGGAATAAACAGGCTTTTCAATGACACCAACGACAAATAAAAAAAGATAAATATCAACGCTCGAACTTAAATTGCAGAACGTTTTTTTAAATTTTAGATTTCAAAAATTGGCCACACAATGTAGGGCATACCGGGAGAAGACAAAAACATCCTTTACACCAAATCCATAACCATTTTACTCAGAACCTTACGGAAGTTTTTCAAATATTTTTTTGTGTAGACTTTGGATAATGTAATTTAGTCAAATTCATACTTTTGACTCTGGATATATCGGCTATACAAAATATATACATTTTTTGTTGTTAACTGTTTCAAATATAGGACCTATGTCACACAGTAACTCAAAATAATTGCACTTAGTAAAACACACATGCCACTTACCATACAACAATGCCCTTATTTTATTCTGGGTTTAAAGGTAAAGATCAGTTTTGGAAACGCCCCTTTCTCAAAAAATGAAATGGAAGCTCTCATTACCAATCATGTGAAAGAATATGTTTTGACTAATACGTAATGATACAAATTTTGCCGAGAAACCGCCTACTAATTAATATATTTGGTAAAATACTATATCTATTTGGACCTGATAGATATCGCGCACGTGTCGCGCACGTTTCGCGTCGTCCCATATACATCTTTCTGTTAACAGTGCTTGTAACTTTACCAAGACTGGGCCAAATTTCTTATCATTTTGATGATTCCAGAACCTTGCAGTACACACTAATATTTGTATGCTAGATGATCAACCTTTTTTGATCGATTCCACAACGTTTCTTTCACAATCGCATGACCAGAACTGGTCTTTATCTTTAACACATTTACACTATTCCCTTCTGTAAGCACATATAATAAGTTCTGATATGTCAACAAAGAAATGTAACCATGACCCATCAGAAATATGCAAAAGCTACCCTCTAGGGTTACTTCAAATAACATCTCATACTTCTTCTCCCCTTCTGTAACTGTTTGAAACTTGGTTCCAGTGTAATTGACGTTTATTCCCTCACACTGCTCATACTAGCTACCTTTTTTATGTTTCACACATAACTTAATTCACTGGGATTATGCCTTGAACTAACCTAGCTATATAACTAATTGACAAAGGGAATCATTTTCAGCCATGGCGTATTCGGTTCGCCCCAGCATGACTACATGCTCACCTTCGCACATTATATCCCCTATGAGAAAAACAGAAAAAAACTTTCACCACACCTTAGGATTATCAACCTTATAGTTCACTTCCCATCCTATGCTCTTTTAACCTGTACAGACCTGAAGAAGATACACATCTCGATATCCAAAAACCCTGTACCTTCTTAATGGTACAATTTCTTTTCAAACTTACACTTCTTTTGTTTAAAGGGATCCGGTAACTTTGTCTCATATTCTGTACATATGACGTTAAGAAAGAAATAACAAAATAATGGCCAACACCATTTAAAAAATAGAATTCAAGTCTACTCTGCTCCAGAGAGCCTCTAAGAAATATATCACACATGGCTCTCTTTCAATCATATTCAATTCAGTCAATAGCAATCTAAATGATCACTCTTCTGATGGGTGCCGAATTAACCGTAGGACGTCTTGGGGAAATCCACACTTCCAAAACGTAATAATCAACAATGAAAATCAGTTTCGCGTGCAGTTATAATTTGTGTCGTCTTCACTACTTTCCACGATTTCTTTCGCTGTATGTCTCAAAAGTTTCATTAGTAGCAATACCAATATGGTATGATACAGCTCAAAATTAATTGTCCCCGATTCATTACCGGTGACTCTGACTTTTTTTTAAAGTATGTGAAAATCATACAGTGTGATTTAGTGGTTTCCCTCTAAAAGTAAAGGAAATTAGAAATATTGTGTAGTTCTGGATTGTGAAAGTTAATTGAATTCCAGTCGTTCTAATTGAATGAGTATATATATATATATATATATATATATATATATATACAGTGCGTCCCAGAAAAAACGAAACCGAGAATTATCGATGTTTTATCATAACTTAGTCTTATTTATAATTATCAAACGAATTCGTTTTCACTGGTTGCTTCCGTAGCAACAAACAGAGTTGACAAAAGACTTAACTCCGTTTAGTTGACAATCAGCCGTAGACGAAAGACTTCATGTATGGCTGATTGTCAACGAAACGGAGTTAAGTCTGTTGTCAATTCTTCTTGTTTCTATGGCAGGCATAAAATAATGGAAATGCAAGCACTACTTTAAACAAACAGAACTTGTCATTCCTTGCTTATTTTTCCTGATTGAGGTGTCATATGAAAGGGCAGAAACTCAACTTTCTAGAAATGTGATTTTCTCTTTGAAATTCAGATACCGTCCGCCAAATGACTTTTGGGTTTCCTCTCTTCAAATTCATTTTAATCACTCATGCGTGAAATATGCATCATTATAAGTTACATCAAATGAAAGAAGAGGATCTAAGCTTTTCAAATATGTGTCATTTATTAATTATAAATGAGACTAAGTTATGATAAAACATCGATAATTCTCGGTTTCGTTTTTTCTGGGACGCACTGTATATATATATATTCAATTAGAACGACTGGAATTAAATTAACTTTCACAATCCAGAACTACACAATATTTCTAATTTCCTTTACTTTTAGAGGGAAACCACTAAATCACACTATATGATTTTCACATACTTTAAAAAAAATCTCATATCTTCATTTCCCTGACATTTGTAATGCCATCATACAAGAATAAATAACCCAGTGATACAATGTGAAATATTACGATCAAATCGCTTACTGATGGTTGCAGTTAAAATAAAATAAATAAGCCACTTCTGCTGAGCAGAACCCAAGCTGTCAGTCTCTTTACTTAAAAAGGAACTCAGCAATTTCTGCCAAGGAAGAAATTCAAAAGCCAATCAGCAATGTCTGCAAAGCAAAACAAAATTATGTTTACCTCTCGGCTTCAAAATTGAGGTGTGGCAAGGTCTCAGACTGGTCTCCCGCCAAACCTCTAAACATTATGTACAGAACCTGAATCAGAGGCATGATAATTATACCTTGCTATTAATCAACACAATACTAGGCTAGCACAGTAATCCCTGCATTAGCTGAATTAATTAACCCTCTATTATCAATGGCACATTCCAGACCCCCACCCCCTTTCTCTCTCTCTCTCTCTCTCTCTCCATTTCTTCACTTCAACATTCAGTACCACTTACGTAAACTTTTTTTTCTTCAATCAAATATTTAAATACGTATCTCTCTCAATCGAGATAGAAATACACAAACAAAAACTCAGAAGAAAAAAATATTTATGTGTATTTTCACAGTGACAACCTAAAGTGATCCTTAAAGAATCATTAAAAGGAATACACATTAAGCAAATATTTTAGTTAATAATACTCATAATAATAACGACATTCTCTAATTGATTATCAAGATATGTTACATTTTCCCATTTTGCAATTGTTAGGTATAAATGAAAAATCATTATAACGAGTTTCCATTTTGATATGCTCGTAGAATAAAGTGGATTTATTTCAATATTGATATAATTGGCATAATTCCTAGCATACAATATGAGTTTGTTCGTGCATGACACGATTAGATTCATTGGTCTACATTTCCCGCTTATGGTCTCTCAAGATTTGGGTTAAATGATATTAAATGGTGCGTGAGTCCACCAGCACGTTACCCATTCTGACTACCCACTGAGTCTGGTCTTGTTGGATCGTTATCTGTGATTGGTCGAATATATAATGTCGTCATAGAGACACGATCAAATTCCGCCCCTTTTTAAGCCTATAGTAATGGTCAAACTATGAAAAGGGACGGAAGTTGTAATTTTTCTCAGTTTAGTTCTACGATTAAAGACAAGTGGTCCCTAAAGTTTGGACACACCCGTACAACATCTGACTTTTGCATCACCGAGTTGCTTCTTGATAGCATGAGATTTACTTGACTCGGAGGGGAAGTATGGCAATACACATTGAAATAACTGAGAGCAGATTGTCAATGTCATAGCATACAACTGAATTATTTTAGAGGATTCGATAGAAAGATAGTACTTTGACTAAGATAGGCCTATAACCCTGTCGATGTGTTTTCACAAAATGGCTTCAGAGACACTTGAGTCTTCGGACAGAGCGATCAAAATGATGAGCGATGTATCAGGAGAGGATTACTGGGGTACTAACACTACCAATGGGACCGATCAATGGACCTTAGCTCCACTCCCAGATCACTTTAGGAAGATCCCGTGGCCGCAGCTTATTGTTATGATCATCGTACTGGTCTTTGGTGTGATAGCTAATCTCTCCATCATCTTTATCGTCCTCAAGAACAAACGTTTGAGATCCACCCCGAACATCATCGTGGTCAACCTGACGGTTGGAGACCTACTCTGTCTCGTGCTCAATCTCCCTCTCATCATTGACTACCACTTCAGATTTCAGAGGAACTGGGTGTTTGGTCAGTTCATGTGCAAGTTTGCCCATAGCAGTATGGTGGCCAGTGGATGTATCACCGTGTATTCTCTGATGGCTTTAGCGATTGAGCGCTATCTGGCTATTGCCTGGCCTTGGCGTAATCGCGCCAGTAGCCGATGCGTCAGGCTGTCCCGAAGCTGTTTCTTGGGTCCGACCTGGCAGATTGTTCTCATGATATGGGTCGGAGCGTTCCTAGTTGGAGCCCCGATTTGGTACACAGCACAAGTGTACGTCTACTACGATGACGTGAATGTTTGTATGTTTATCAACCATGGTCAGCAAGTTGCACAGATTTACAAAGTATTTCGTCTCCTGTTTGCGTTTCTAATCCCTTTAGCAGTGATCATTGGTGCCCATACACTCACTGCATATGCACTTATCAAGAGTGTTCGAGAGCCAGTCATTGGTGTCACCCCACAGGTTTCTCCTACGAATCGTCAAACACCACGCGTACGGTCACGAGTCAAGCTGGCGATCGTCATCACCGTACTCTCCGCGATGTTCTTCTTCGCTTGGTCACCCTTCTATCTGTTCAGTATCTGGTTCCAGTTCTATTACAGTGAGACCTTCGAGACATACGCCATGTTTGAATTCCTTCGCTGGAGAAGTGTTCCGATCTACGTGCTCAGCTGCTTGAATCCCATCGCGCTCTACATCCTAAGCACACGGTTCAGACAGCAGTTGTTCAATGATATCTTCTGTTGCTTTGGTGATCGCAGGTTCGCCTGGAAGCCTTCAGAGACCTTCAGCTCATTGAAAGGATCCTTCTTCACGGCTAGTACCTTCAGGAGTAGGTCAAACTTTAACAGAGGGTCTTCATCAAGCCGGTATGATCGAGGGACACCAGTAGCGGCATCTTCTGAAGAATTATAAGATGTGAGGTGAGGCACCATGGTCACAGTATAGGAATAGACCATCAGACTACTTAACGTGGTATGAACATGATGATAGTTTATCGTCAAGTGTTTTCAGTATTTAGACAATATTTGGAGGAAACCGATGTCACATCTCGTCAAACTGTGAAATATGTTATCCATCTTGAATTGTAATTCTTACTCGAGTTGAAGCTAGGGTTATACATTAACAATTTGTATGGTGTTTGTGTTTAGAAACTGTGCAACGAATCCCACCAATGGCATAGCAAATGTTGATATGCCACAAGGAATGGAATATGTAAATAATAGGCAGTATGTTTGATATGGGGATAAATGTGTTCTAAGTCTTCTGATTTATAGAAGTTTAAGTCTCTTACAATCTCAAAGTGTCAAAATTGTCAAGTGTCGATGAAAAATTATTGTACAATCGCAAGTGGTTCGTATGCCCAATTCCGTTTCTTTTCACAAAGTAGTCAAATGTAAAGAAATTAATTTATTTCATGTTCATGTCTTTTTAATACCTAGCTATACTTGTTTTTAAAAAAATATTATAATTCTGTATTGTAGAAAACTGTTAACATGTAACGTAGATTTTCTTACCATAATATAATATCCTTGGAGCCGATCTCACATGGTAGGACTACTGCAGAAACAAAAGATTTTAATAACGGTACCTAACATAGGTGGAAATTGCTCTTGTGTATTTCGGGTACCCCACTTTTCTAACCAAAAAAAAAGGTAGAAGAGAGAGAGAGAGAGAGAGAGAGAAAGAGAGAGAGAGATGGGGAGAAAGAGAGAGAGAAAGAGAGAGGAAGGGATGGAGAAAGATTTTTTTTACGTTTGGAATACTTTTAACTATGCAGTCACTCCGAGCGTTTGATTATGAGTGATAATTCATTTAGCAAAATAAAAAGATGCGAGAACGAAAAATCGGGTTCATTGATGTTTAATAATGTGTTAAAAAATGCCCACCCTCGTCAAAATCATTTGGGGACATGTGGTTCTCTCATTCATGATTGTGATGTTACGAGGTGAAGTCCAAAATCTGAAAGCAGAGTAAAAAAGGGGACGATCTGATTCTTCAATTACTCTTGAAGAACAGATGACTGATGTGTCTTTCTTAATGACTTCTGGCCTAGTCAAGGACCTCTATGACCTTTTCAGTATATCGCTGACAATATACAGGCGGTCCTGGGACGGCCAAAGAACCACCCACCTACACACACACACACACATTTTTTTTAACAAGAGAAAAAAATTTGGTGGAAAATCCTTTTCTCCAGAGGATGCTTTTTCAGGGGAATCGAACTGATTGTATCGTATTTGTATTTATTGGAATACTTCATTCACATGGTACATATTTATATTGATTAAAATAATATCAAAAAGATTAGATTGATCTTTTTCGCCGGCTTAAAAGAAAAATTTCTCCCCGGCAACAATCCGTGCAATATTTGAAAAGAAGTAGTTCATATCCTCTTTTTACATAATATAACAAATGTAGAGATGTTTATATATATTTACTTAATTTTTTTTGTACAAAACTAAACTTCCGCGTGCTTTGCACATGACAGAAATTTTTGATACTTGAAGCACTTCTCAGTTGAAGAATTTAGCAAGATTTGCTCGCCTTATTATGTTTGAATTTTCTCAAAAACAGAGAAAGAAGATAGTTCAAGCATTTCAGGCAGTACAATTAGAGCTGAACCTACACGTACTCGTAGCGGTAGGATAGTGAGAAAGCCGTCTTTGTTTACTCTTTAGCTTGTAAATAGACTACATTATACTTATACATTTTATTATTGTCACTATCTAAATTGTATGTATACATTGTGTTTACTAGTTGGTTACAATGTTAACGTTTGTACTTTCATACACTATAGACCTATTATCGTTGTATCTTTGTGTCATTATCTATGTACATTGTACAAGAATTGTATTCACAAGTTATGCATTGCTATTCATACTTTTATGTTTGTTTGTATTCTCATACCCCGAGAGGAGGTCAAAAAGTCAATAAAATGGTGAAGAATAACTAAAAATCGCTAGGTCACCTCTTAGTTACGAAAATAGGTCTCGTGTGAAAAAAACGATTCCGTTGCATGTTAATCGAGATCAAATTAACGAATAAATAGTTTTCACGCAACAATGGAATCGGTTTCTATGTCCTCCACTGAACCTAAGAGCACTTTAAATTCAAAATATACATCGAGAATACCTTTTATATATTGTAAAAGTAGATACTTTACCAAATAAATGGGGCTAATAGTTAATTTTCAAGGTCCCGTCACGCCTCGAACACTATTTCCTTTTATCCTAAAGGACTGGCTGATAAAATCACTATTTTCATTGCAAGACTAATCAGTTCGCTACCTTATACAATGATGAGATATCTATATTTAGAACCTTAATCATGTTGATGAAAAACGTGCATTTGAGACTGCTTTAAGGCCACATAAAGCATGGGATAAAGGTTTTTTCGCAGAGATTCAAAACCATGAGTGTCATCCCTGTTTTGCTTTGGAAAAGGTCACATATAACAAGACCGCATTGACAAATCAAATTCAAACGCATGTCGATCCATTATCAGTTTTTATACAGAGATTTTTTTTTAATTTCTCTTAATTTGCTATTCAGTATGAGGGGCAAATATAAAAGCGGTGCATTCTTTAACCATTGTGATAAAAGCTTACACCAAATAATAATAAATAATAATAATAATAATAATAATAATAATAAATTCATCGAGGACAAATTATAGATGTACATGTACCTTATAATCTTTTATTGAAAGGGTAAAGTCCGAAATGCGTTATTGTATAATGTTACACAGCGTTTGGAATGGATGGAAAGAAACAGCTTGGAGGATATTCAAGCATAATATACTTCATTTTGATGGTATATGATTTTGATTTACGTTAATAGTCAATAAGTAAACCAAGTCCTTCCAGGTTCGGCTGCAATCATACAGACGTCGTTCTTATGTAACATAAACTGGGAAATTTTGTTGATCTAATAAGTCTTTTAGTATTTTACAAACATGTTGTATTACAAACCATACACAAATATATTGCAGTGTATGTATGCTACGCAATATTGTGGACTTTTGTTGTTTTTATTCATTCTATTCACAAGTTGTCGTAAAGGAGACTTCAATGTGCAGAAAAGAATCATCAAACAGGCCGAGAAGATAATAGGGCAATAATTAAACATTAGAGATCTATGTCGAAAAAGGATAGTAGAAAAGGCAAAATCCATTCTAAAGAATAATCAGCACCCCTTGAACGGAAACTATATAAGAATGCGGTCCCGTAACCGGTTGGGATGAGCACGCTGTTGGACAAATCAGCTCTTAAACTCATTTATATAGGGCAATAACGAGGTTCTTATCTTACTCCATGTTATTCATGAATGTTTTAAAGTTTGCAATGTGTTCCTATAAGGTGATAAGGGAAATATACAGACGTTGGCGTCAAGAAAATGGGAATAACAAAACTCTAAAAAAGCAACAAACTATTTCAACGACTCCTGTGCTTATTTAAGAGAAGTCTTAAAATCGTGAAAATGTGCCGACATTCACGGGGTTTGTTGATCCGAAATTGTGGTATTCACAGTTTGATATTTACATTCCTTGGCGTGTTATTGTCAACAAAAGTTAATCTAGTATAAAAGAACAGAGAAGGGTGATAATAACCTTTCTTTCCCACTCAGTTTATTTCTCAGTTCTTCTCTCTTTGGAATGGATATCTCATTATGATTATTTTTCCTTTTCCTTTTTAAGAATTGATTCCTAATTGTAATAATTTAAACATTTTGATTGTTAAAATAACCTTATGATACCTGAACATGATAATAGTAATAATAACAATAATATAATGATGATGATGATGATAATAGTGATAACATTAGAATTAATAATATTAACAATTATTATTTATTATTATTTTATTATTATTATTTATTAGGCCAATCATAAAAGCACAATACAAATACATTTGACAGATCATGCAATACATAAACAAAACAAGAGGAAAAGGGAGGGAGCAACGTGTGGGCCAGGGCTCACAAAAGTGAAATTCAACACTATTACCCGGAGGCATGTGAGCCCTCAATGATGATAATTATTATAAGACTAGAGAGCAGTTGTAATAATACAATACATTATTCATACCTGTGAAAACTTATCATATTTCAACCTCACTTGGTATACATGTACATGCATGTTATTTTCAATGCATGACTATATCTTTGTCTGATTGTTTAATGTTTTTGATTTTTGTTTTCTGAATTTGTTTTTTGGTATGAGTGCATATGGTATGTATGTGTATATATATATATATGTCTATGGATATACAGAATCTGTTTGCATCAAGATGCAGTCGTAAAAAGAAGAAGAAGAAGAAATGGAAAAGGTTCAGCTTTAACGATATCACAAGGCAGAGAGTATCACAATCAGGCTATGATTTCTATTTCTTCAAAGTGTGGTTTCTAATACGTACATGTATCCGTGTGTTTATTTTCAGTTTTTGTTGACGAATTTAAAGTTGTAAAACTCATGCTCTGGTCAAAAATTGTTAGACGGTCAATTCCAAATTAGTTTCGACCATTTACCAAACAATTTACATATCTCCAAATCCATTACCTAATCAATACCCTAAACCTAACTCCAAGCCCTAACCTTATATCTCCCAAAATAAAACCCGGTGTGAGGCCGTCCGACGACAGGTAGAATCACCAGAATTAGCTGGTCAAAAAGACAAATTGAAAAGCGTCAGAATATTAAGACATCACATTTATTACCCAAATTGTGATCATCATGAGGGGAATGACGAAATTTATCACGTTAGCTTCCCACCAAAAAAAGTCAATTATAAATTATGTAAATATTTAAAATAGTGTATTTGATAATCATTGTAAGACTACACCTTCACATATATAGAATCTTCAAGTGTGTCGGATATTCAGTTTCTATTTCATTTATAGTGTAATGTGGTGACTTACTTATATCTGTATAAATAAAGCGTTTATATGCATGACG